TTCGACATCTCATGTTATATGAATTTCGGAAAGGAAGTTCTGTAACAATTGCCACGAAAAACATATGTGCTGTTTACGGAGAAAATGCGCTTTCATCTCGCACCTGTAGGAAGTGGTTCCAACGTTTTAGAGCTGGGAATTTCTGTTTAGAAGACGAGGAACGCTCCGGGCGTCCGCCTCAGATAGACGAAGATAAAATTCGGGATCTTGTTGAAAAATCACGAAGTTTGACAGTTCAAGAGATGTCAAATGTTCTGAAAATACCTAAGACCACGATTTATAGGTGTTTAAAAAAAATGGGGATGGTGTCAAAGTTGAACGTTTGGGTGCCCCATGAACTTACGGAACGGAACCGTCTTGAACGAACGACAGCGTGCATATCATTACTTGCGCGTAATAAACATGAGCCATTCCTTAAACGCCTGGTAACTGGTGATGAAAAGTGAATACTTTACGAAAACCCTGAACGAAAACGTAGCTGGTCCCAACGAAATCAGCCACCTCAACGCTGCGCAAAACCAGGGTTACATTCACGTAAAGTTCTTTTGTGTGTATGGTGGGATTATAAAGGAATACTCTATTTTGAACTTTTATCTAGTAGTGATACCATTAACTCAAACAAATATTGCACTCAGAAAAATTAAGGGAAGCACTAGCTGAAAAACGACCAGGTTTAGTGAATAGGAACAACGTTATCTTCCATCACGACAACGTTATTGTCACGAAAAGCGTTACAAGAAAATTGTCTGAATTTAATTGGGAAATTTTACCACATCCCCATATTCCCCAGACACTGCCCCATCTGATTACCACCTGTTCAGAGCATTACAACACTTTTTAGTCGGTAAAAAATTTGAAAATATTGACATTCTCAAAAATAGCTTAGAAAATTATTTTAAAGAAAAACAAGAGAACTTTTATCAAGACGGAATAATGGCCCTACCAGAAAAATGGGAAAAAGTTGTACAACGAGAGGGGGATTACATTTTTTTATGAAACTGAAAGGTATATAAACAATCTTAACATATATATCCGCTCGAAAAAAGGCACGAACTTATGGGATGACCTAATATGTACAAGATTATCCACTTAACTTTCAAGTTTCGACCCACGCTCGCCAGAACATATAAGAATGGCAACAGCGTAACATAAAAGCTTATGACATAGTCAAATGTAGCACACCATCTATGAGCGGTAGCTAAAAGTACAATTAAACGAAAACACAGAGCGATTTGGGTGTCACCGAAAGGACTTTAAATTTGACATCAGATTTTTGCAGCCAACTTTGTTCCTATATGTAACTTAACTTTTTTTTTATTAATAACTGATATCTTGGATTATGCTTACCTGAAATCCTATTACAACGTAATTTTGTTTTATTTAAAATTATATTCAACTATCAAAGTTATTAGCAAATTACAATGAAATGGTTCACAATCTTACAAACATCGAGGCCCTTTTTCTATTTCATCATTTTCTTCTACATCGTACTTCAAAATTTGTTAACTACCACTTTCTAGAAATTGACCGCTATTACCTGATATTGATCGCTCTGTTCTGAATACATCGAACGTAAGAATAAGGAACAAGGAGAGCAATTAAGATACAAGACACCTCCCAGAGTAAATGTCTAAATATGAATCCTGTGAAGTATTTTTGTTATATCTCAATTGCCTTCTTATTCTTACATTCAACGCATTCAAACAATCGTGTTCCGAATTTCACAATTTCTGAAGAATCAATTTTTTCAGTGATTCTAGGAGCATCCGAAAAAGAGCTTTCCGTTAAACGTGAGGAAGATCCTCACCCGAGAATTCACTTAGGACGCGGAGCACTTAGGATTTCCACAACGGCGAAAATTTATTTATTTTCTTTATTTTTTGTTAATAAGTTGCTATATTCTGACATTTCTAACCCTGCTTTATATGTATCATCGTTCAAAAATATAGTAAACAATTAATTGTCATTCTTATACTTGCCTATCTCGGGTAGAATAATAGATATGAACTTTTTCATAGAACCATACAATTAAATAGGTACTTGTAGCGTAGAATTCAATATGTTCATATCTATACTAGTGTGTAACCAAACAGACCAAATCCCTAACATTAAGTTTAAATACATAGATTCTCATATATGCTAAGGTTCAACCAAACAGGGCAGATCCCTACCTTTATAGGTTCTTGTACATGCTAATTTCAATTTAAACTCAGCACTTGGCCGCATGGTGGAGCACCTGTACTGTGAAACAACTAAAACTACGGGCGTGAGCACTCTCATTTCCTCCCTGATAGTATACATAATCAGCTATAACCTGAGAACATTTTATAACTAAGAACAACAATACATTAAATAATAAATATTTATTTAAAAATTAACATGCGAGCAACAACTGATGATGATCCATATGCTCATGTAGCAAAAGGACCATTGAAACTAAAAAATGATCAAAATGTGATTAAAAAGTATGTATCTGACAAATCTTATTTTTAGATTAAGTTTAGTTACATTGACAGTTACTAAATATGTAGATCAAAATTTACGTATAATCCTTAAATTGTTAATAATACAATTATTATTTTTTTTAATAGAAAAAAGAATAAAGAAGGTAAAAAGAAGAAATTAGTAGAAGTGACAAAAATTACGGAAGAAGAACAATCTAAGGTAACAGAAATTAAACGAACAAAAGCTGAAATAGCATTTCAAAAGATGCAAGAGAAGATGGTAAGCAATTATTTAATTGATAGTCTCATATTATAAGATAAGGTAATATAATATAACTCTGCAATATTACTTGCAGCAAACTGAACGAATAAAACAAAAGGCTTCAATGACGCACAAACAACGGGTAGAAGAATTTAACAGACATTTAGACAGTTTAACAGAACACTTTGACATACCAAAAGTCAGCTGGACAAAATAAATTCTTTCTATGCTTTATATTATACTATATTTATACATAAAATTTAAGCATTATTAATATAATACTTAATTAAATTAGATTATTCTTAGATAAAATTTTTCATAAAATTATTCTTCATTGTAAATTTTTTTTATAAAAGTACATTAATTATTAAATTCAGATCGTCATAAAAAATTGTAATTGTAAAATGGATGGGTTCTTCACACTAAAGCTTATTGTTATTTTATTAATTAATAAAAGATATAATTTTTAAGTATAAGGCACATTTTGTTAATGCACTTCATATTGTAACATATATATAATGAGTATTATATATTACAATGTATAGTAAATATCTCTTTGAATTTAAGATATACAATAAATAAGTGCATTATGTATATTTGTCTATAATTATTCATGTCTAATAAACGATATGTACACATATGGACGGAACTGATTAATAAAAGGGGTTAATATACTATGTTTCAACCAACGGTATATGAATCATACCTATTGTTAAAAATAAGAATGAATATAAAAACGAAATTTTTATACTTCCACTACCATAATGGAATATTTTTATATAATTTTCCGTTACGACCCAAGGATTACTCCCGTCATCGAAATACATTGGACATTGATCACGTTCTCTTTCATATTCCTAAATTTAATTATAAAATATATTTAGAATTATACATAATGCATTAAATAAACTTATAGAGGCACTTTGTATTACCTGCAACTCTAACGCAACTGCGGCACCTTCAGTATAATTACTGCTTGTAACATCTTGTTTAAGATCACAGAATGGTCCAATAGCTTGAGACATGAGAACTTTATTTAAATCTGCTCTTTGATATACCCAGCAACGATATTTACTAAAAGGATCTAACTCGTCGTAGGTTATTAAATATGATTTTAAATTTTCTTTCCAAAATCCAATACATTGCATTTTGTAATCTGGGAGACCTATATTTAAAAAGAGCATGTGGAATATGTTATTTTTCTACTATATTATATATATATATATATATATATACTATTCTACTATAGCAATTTACACTTACTGTAGATATCCACAGGTCTTCCTAAATGATCTACTGATAAACAATAGGTTTCATCAATGGCAATTTCCTTTTGGTCAGTATCACATACAGAAAAATCTGAAATGTTTTGTTTGCAATAAATATTTGGACGTGGAGACTTTGTAACACCCCCTAAAATTCTAGTTTCAAATAAAACATCTCCTTTTTGAGCAAACATGTATTTTCCGGCCACTGGACAGCGTACTGGTACGGGATTCTTAGCTAAAGGTACAACAAATATTAATAGAAGAACCTAGCTAGCATTAGATATACGGAAAAAGTATTTTATACTGACCTAAGAATAAATCATATTTCCAAGCTTCCTTGTTAGGGAACTGAACCCAAGAACAAACTGTATGGAAATCATCTTTAATAACTGCAATACCACGTCGATATCTGATAATGTTATGATGTCGACGTACAAAGTCAAAGCATACATAATCTTTTTGACTAAAAATGAAAATTAATTAAATATTGAAGCATAACATTTATCAATTACAGTAAACATCCATACCATCCATCAACAGTTAATCTAGCCATCATCACCCTGGTATCCCTCGATTCACGACAAACATAAATCGTACGTCTATAACGACCTTCATCAGGATACCAAGTTTCAATTATATGCGTTTCGTTAATGAAAATATCTGCATCAATATTGGCAGTGTTTATCCATTGTCCGCTCATATCTTCTGGTAGTCTGCATCCTGGCTCTACTACTTCCGCTTTGACGGGTGTTACCCTTAATCGTTCTGGACTTTTCTCAACTGTCTTCAACGTATTACATTCTGCAGTAATAGATACACCAATATAAAGATCATCATCGCGATTCTTTAGGAAACATCGGTATTTTTCGTCTTTTCTAGATTCTTTCGTATTTGCAACCGCGAAAAAATGATTTTTATCAACAAACCAATCTCCCAAACAACTGTATTCTACCACTGAAATAGAAAATGGAATATTATTTGAATTTTACAAGAAAGAACTTAGCAAAATAGTATTAACTCCTAATTTAACAAAATACATTACCTCCTTCAAAAGTATTCTTCATACCAGCGCATTGTTTGTACGTTATGTTGAATTTTTGATTAGTTATCAAAAATTGTGTTCCGGCAGTTTGACATGATCTAATTTGAGCATCTGGATGATTGCATTCTCCTGTAAATCTGAATCGATTCTGTAATAATAAAAAAATGGATAAATTTTGTGTATACTATTGTACAAATGTACTATTAAATGTATACCTGATAGGCAAACTGCCACACTCCTTCAAGAGAAGATCTACAGTTTACTGGGACATAATTCTCTGAAAATAGTGTTACTAACTGTTGGTCAGGACGTAACCCTTTACATACATTTTCCACATTTGGCTCAACACCACTGGGTAGATTCACACAATATGCTAAATCATAAGCATGCAGTATTAATGTATTTTATATACAGATTTTTTTTATTAATTCCTTTAAATTTATCATATATACTTTACCTTCAAGTTTTTCTAATACATTTACAGTTCTAACAATTAATTTAACACAGTGATAACAAGTTTCATGTTGAAACACAAATGTATAATTAACATGATACTCTTCTATCATATCAACGCATCTGCCACGATCAGTCATTGTTTCAGCATTTATTTCTGTTAAAGTGTTCCTTCCATTTTCCCAAGAAAACCAAGATCCTCTAATAACTAATGGAATTTGACAAGAACTTGATTGTTGAATCGAATACACAACTAAAGAAACATAAACATGAAAAAAATATGAAATTATTGTCATTTATATTGAATTGTTTTATATGTTGTTAAATATATTAAAAATTATAACATTTGTAATATAATGTCACAAAAATATTGAATATTCAATAGAGTAATTAATTATATATTTTTTTAGCATATTTATTTTTTAACTTAAAAATGTTTTTATATAAAGTTTTTAACTTTTAAATACAGAATTAAAAGTGGAATTTTGTATACACATAAGTAATTTACAAATCACTAAAATTTACCTTGGCACATAAAATATAAACCAAATAAAAATAAATGTAATCGTTTAATCATCTTGTCATTAAATTTTGTTTAATAAATTTTATAAGTAAAAAAATGTATGTTTTGTATACATATAACTGATATGTAATTAATCACAAAAAAATTTACGCTCAGTGCCCAACCCACTTGTGAATCATACATATGCTGCCCTCTGAAAATGAATGTACTATTTAAACTTGAATTAACCCATACAAATTAATGTGTTACTTATTTGTTAAAATTAAATATATATTGGTTTTTGAAACAAATATTCAATATCTTTGTTATTGAATTGTAGACACAATAAAAATGAGTAAAAGTTATTGTAAGAAATACAATATTTTCTACAACTAAAATTTAAAATAGGAATATTTAGGGTTAAAATATTTAATTCATTTCTTAAAAGTTTCAAATATTAAGGTTTTGAACAAATATTTTTGTTTTTATATATTATATACATTTTGTTAGAAATCAAATCTTAATAAATCGTTTCGTACAAGAAAAATATTATGTAAGTACAAAAAAATTTGTTTTATATAATATTCGTAATTTAAATAAAAATGTAATGCGAGCATTAGTAAGTACATGTCACTCAATACTTAATATAAATCGTTGAATTAGTGATATTCTTCCAGAAAGTAATATTTTTTGTATAGGGAAATTTATCTAAACAGTATATTGTATGTCTAAACAATTGTATACAGAAATCTTTTATATATTTACTAAATATTGTTTGATTAAAATTAATTTCTAATGTCTTCTAACTATTTGTGAATAAATCTTATAAATTTAAGCGATTGTATTGTGAATTAATTTCATATTTTATTACTTTTAATTTTATTGTTGCTTTTTGTGAAAACATAAACTTTATAAATCAACATTATATACATTATCAAGAACAATGACAAATGCAGAAGTTGTTAAAAATATGTCAGACTGGGAACCATTGCGACTGACATATATTAAACCATCATTTAATACTCAAGAATCAACTTTGGCAGCACGACGAGATTTATGGCACAAATTCATTTTATTTGGCATAGGACAATATAAAGCAACAGAAGTATTGAGAACAGTTATTGTTGCTTGTGAACCTGAAATTATATTACCCATTATGTATAAAGAAGAAAGTCCCAACAAAAGTACATTCCTGACAAAATGTAGCTGCGGCGCTATTGAAAATCTTGTAAAGCAAGGTTTATGCATAACATTGTCAAATGGGCAAGAATTACGCATTGATATTATATTGGGATATACAGATTCTCAAAGTTTACAATTGAATCCTAATAGAGTTATAGCACAGGCACTTTATTATAGGTATGAACCTACAAAAAAGGTATTGAACCTTGATGATTTTGAAAATGAAAAGTCATTAAACTCTATATATTGTCCCATATCTTTACCTAAAATATTACACTTTGTTTTAAGATGTACTAAAATGGGTATTTTGAGCAATAATCGTGATTCACGGTTACCTGTTAGAGAACTGACTTTAAGATATAATCAAATTACAGGCATTGTCTTCTTTGAAAAATTTTTTAATTATCATTTAACCAAATTAGACTTACGTCATAATCAAATCACAGATGTGGAATACTTACGCTATTTTAGTGAGTTTAAAATAAGTGAACTTTGGTTGGATGGGAATCCACTATGTGCAAAATACAGCAAGTGTCAAGATTATGTGCAAGCAGTAAAAAATGTTTTTCCTCATTTGCAAAAATTGGATGGAATTGTAATAGGTATGGAACAAAAGTTTGTTCCTAATATTCAAAGTAACTTTCTAAGAGATGGTACAAATACTTGTTTGATCAAACAATTTGTGAAGCATTTTTTCACGTTATATGATCAAGATGATAGACAAGTGATGAATGGTTTATATGACAGAGATGCACTTTATTCTATGACTCTGGGACCTGTTTCAAATTACATTCATAAACAGCTAACTAAGACGTTTGTTACAAACAGAAATTTGCTAAAATTTGTTGATTATGCAAAGTGCCAAGAATTTTTATTACGTGGACCAGAAAAAATCATTTCTGCGCTCAGAAATCAACCGCCTACGATACATCACTTTAAAACATTTTATATAGATTTATTGTATGAAGGAGAGATTCACATTGCAATTTCTGTGCAAGGAATGTTCTCATTTCGAGACATTCATCAATGTCCTCCAATGTTTTTCAATAGAACTTTTATGATTATGAAAAAAGAAGATAATGAATATTGCATTACTAATGATCAGTGTTATCTTGACGGAACACCTGCTAATGGCACTTTGTCAGGAAACAGTGAAATAAGGTTTGAATCAAAAGGTGCTCCAAAATTTATTCCAACAGTGTTTAGTGTTTCTGAAAAAGAACAATTACTTACATTTTTACATGAATTGACTACAATGAATATGAAATTTTGTCATCAATATCTTGAAGATGCCAACTGGGATATTAGAACTGCTATTGTGACATTTATGAATATGTATACAGTCAACAATGTGCCACCTGAAGCTTTTCTATAATATGTATTTTACTGTATAATATTTATATAATATAGATATCATTATCTGTTACATGCTTGTAATATAACAAGAAAATTGTATAATTGTACTATAAATTTGTACCTATGTAAAATATTAAATTAGTTTTATTTTATATAAGTACAGAAAAAATTCATTTTCAACTTCATATAATAATTTCATTAATATTATTTTTAAAAATATATTACTACCTGAATAAAACAAGTGCCATTTTTATAAAAAAAAATCTTTATTTCATTTTATACAAAATATAAAATTACAATTTTCATGATATTAACAACCTTGTTGTGTATTTAGCAGAGCAATGGTTTTATTTATATATGGTATAGTATTCACATTTGAATTTACTCCTAATTCAAATACTTTTTGCATTAACGGTAAAGCGTGTTCTGAAATAAAATATAATTTATCAGAATACAATATATATTATCAAAACAGGTACTAGAATAAACTAAAGAGAAATATACCTTGCATACATAATACAATTTCTGGTAACTTCTCTAAAGCTGACATTAATATATCAGCTCTAGAACTGTCCAAACACCTTTGAAATGCAGACAAGATATTTGCATTTGATGCTGGGCGATGTTTTAATGCTCTTGCTAATAATGTATGAGCAAGAGATCTTATGTTACTTTGCGGAGATACAAGCAATTCTGCTATATTGTCTGTTATAGATTCCAAAACTGAAGGTTTTCGTGATGACAAATGCTCAATTTCTTGAAGAGCGCTAAATACATCTAAAGCATAATATTAAAATTTGTATATTCTAATATTATAACGATATTTAAATTGAAATTAAATCGTATTTTCTAATCATACCTTCACCTTGCAGTTTAGATAATGTAGTTAACAATGAAGGCCAATGCTGTGGAATAATGGATTCTGTCGGAGGTGGAGTAGGAGGAACAGTAATTAAAATCTCCTCTATGTCTTCTCCTTCTCTTGGCATTGGAATGCCTGATACAAGCGTTCTAAGTGTAACTAGATTTGGATAATGTACCTGCAATTCACTATATGTAAGTGTAAGCTGATATCTGAAATTCATAGAAGAAATTATAGTTACTACTTACTGTAGAGCCTGAGCATGTTTCTGCAAATATTTCAATGCCCTTTGTGCATTATAAGAGATGTATGCTTGTAGTAATGTAATAAATCTATTTAAGAGTGGTATAAGATCTTTTACTGGACCATAATTCTGAAAATAAAACAGATTAGCTATTTTTAATTTGATTCATATTAATAATATATAAATATTCCTTTACATACTTGGAAGCACTGAAAGTAATTCTCCAGTGTATCTTCCAAAGCAGTCTGATGTTCTTCACTAAACAAATGTGGTTGTAGTAATTCCAGTAATCCCATTATTTGTACAAAAAGATTTAGATGATGACCTGCTCTAAATTGACTAAAATCCAAATAAGATCTTCCCATTAGTGACGACGCTAACATTGGAAGTTGTCGTAACACTAAAATAGGATGCACAGCAGCCATTTTTCGGGCGCATAATTCGAAGTCTTGAGACCTAGAATTCCATGACTTTTGCCGCGGTGTTGCTGCTAGAGCAGTTAACAAAGAATGACTCATACAATCTAACACAGAACCCGTCCATCTTGTAATTTTTGCTCCTCCAACAAACTTTTTAGTTTGAAATGTGTCTAAGTAACATATTACTTTAGGTATTTTCATGTACATGTGTAACAAGAATTGATGGACCATATCTGAATCAATACTAAAAAATAAAAGAGAAATATTTAGAAAACTTCTATTAAAAAAGGAAACTTACTCTTTTTTTAAGCTTTGTTTCTGCAAAAAAAACTTAATACTACATTAAACTGGACATACTCTGAGTCATTCATCATACGTGCAGCCAAATATTTTACTACACTGGCTACCAAATGATCGTCTGTAGAAACACAGTGTAATAATAAATCAAGACGAGAATCCATTCGAGCAAGTGCAATGTTTCTGTTTTGACAATTATATATGATAACAGCTTCTGCAACTATATACGCTACAAGTGTTAGTAACTGTTTCTCGTGTAAAAGTAAAATATTTTCTGGAACATAATGTTTTGGCGTGAATTTGTCTCTGCCTTGCCAGAGTTTTGGATTACAAGTTAATGCCCACAAGAAGTCTAAAACAGCTGTCGGGTCATACCTATGAAAATAACATTATATTACCTTCATATATTTTTTAAATTATTTTTTACTTACCCATCATCACATTTATCTAATAAATGTCCAACACATTTGTACAAAGTTGCCCAACTTGCCCTATGCGTCAATAAAGTTAACAAGTAGGGCCTAAATGAATGTGAACTCATAACATTGTTATCAACTTTCATTTGTATCTTCGTTTTCCCAAATAAAAGTTTCATTTGAAGAGTAGGACATGTTCCAATTAATTCTGGTTCAACAGATGCTAACCAATCGATTAATACACCAGTTCGTGGCTTCAAAATGCCTTCATTGCTATCATTTACTAGTAATCTTGCCATTGCCTCAACAAGAACGTCGGTTTTCTGTTGTTTCAGACAAATATTTAATAACTTACGTCCAACTGCTTCCAAATTCACTGGATCCGTGCTTTCTAAAATAGATCCAGGATCCCGATTTTGCATCAACATCGTTAATTCCATGCTTTTTGGCGTTTTGGTTAATTGCACGTTTGCAAAGTCTCTTAAAATAGATAGAACTGGTGCTTTTACATCTCCTATTAGCTGTATCAAGTTTAGACACATATTACGGGCTAATTCAACCACTTGTTTCGAAGTCGATGGCTTTTTTAAAGGCAACAATATTACTCGCATTAGGGTGCAAGAATACTGAGGCATGTGAACAAGCGAGGCTAAGAATTGTTTAACTTGCATTGAACTTAATACACTACATATATGTTGTATTGCTAACACAGCAGCTCCACTTTCTTTAGCAGATTTCTGCAAATCTTTTGCTAAGGTTTTATGTAATCGGCGATATGCATCTACCTTTTGATTCATTGGTATATTTTCGATAAATAATCTATTGATTAAATGTGGGACATCCGTTTTAACAGAAGATTGTATGACAGATTGTATTTGAACTACAGCACTTAGAGGTAAAGGTTCCTGTAATTGTGCGATAGTTACAGCATTTTCATCAGGTAACTCTGGCTCCATCAATTGTAAAACCTGTACAAAGACTAGTCCACCCGTTGCCCCTCTTCTGTGTTGAACTTCAACTAATTGTGCCATATACGTCTTATCGAGTACTGCTTCACCAACAGAACTCGGGTCAATTTGCACACCAGTATCCAATGTATGGAGTAATTTAGTCATTGAAGGAACAGGAATACCGAAGCTCTGAATAAAAAGAACCAGTTGTTGTGGTTCCAAATCTTTAAGAGCTGCGTCAATTAAACGTGGTACACTACTTCTAATCATTCTTAGTTTTAACCAATCAGGTATTAATAAAGCTTCTTCGCTTGTATCAACGAGGAAAGCTTTTGGTGGTTCTGTATTCAATGGAAACCAAGTTTCAAGTAAAGCATCAAACAATACATCATCATCAGAGTCGTACGTTAATAAGATTATCATAGCATGAACAACTAAAATATGCATAGTACACTCTTCTCCTGTACTCCATTGTACTAATATCTGGTCTTGACTTTCAGACCAGGTATATTCCTCTGCTCGTGGAGATCGAGCTTTTTCTAGATAATTACAGAAAATCACCATGAAAGCATGCAAAGTCTGTTTAGCTGCTTTATTTGGTGGATTATCAATTTCTGGTTGCGGTAGAATAGCTGCTATAATCGTACTTCGTTCGACTACTAATTGAGCTATTTCGTTAACTAAATCAGTTAAATCGGGTAAATCATCGTCTGTAGTATGCGCAGCAAGATAAGATATGTACGCATGTACAAGATCTGGGTTATTTTCGACTTGACATGCACCTCGAAGAGCAGTAGAAACTAAAGATCGTACTGATAAGAAATGAGGTATGGACGGTAATTTGCGAAGAAGCCAGATCTCCCTAAAACAAATAGTTTTATTAGTTTTAAACTTGAAGGAGCATTATTAAAAGTGAACTTATGAAATTACTTTTCATTCTCTCCATCTATATCCATAGGTTCCTCTTCAGTAGGTATTGATCCAAGTACCATCTTCAAACCTGTAATTGCTTGAAGGCGGCTGCCAGTTTGTTGACTGCTCAGTCTTCTTAAGAAATATTCCAAAACCTCGTAAGCATGTTGTCGATCCTGTTCGGGATCAGTTAGTAACATTTGAAGATGGGCTAATAGCTGTTGTTGTCTTGGTTGCTTCTCCACAGCTTGAGTACTAGTAGATAATAAAAATTCACAAAGACACTGTACAGGTAATTGACTAAGAGATCCCTCGCTATTTTGTACAAGATCTGCTAGCCATGGCATACTCTGAGACGAACTCTGTTGTTGTCTTTGTATTATATCTAATAAGAAATCTGGTTTACGAGATCGACAAAGTAAATGTCCCAACCTATGAGACACATTTAATGATTGTATTTGTTCCAATACTGCTGGAGGTGGTCTCCTAGCAATTCCAGTTGGTTCCATAGTCATTAGTTGTGATAGTAATAAACTGTTTTGTTCTGATATTTGTATTCTTGTTGATGCAGCAGCTAAGTGTGATTCGTATTCTAATATTTCTTGTTTCTCTATAGCTTCAACTTGCAATTCTTTCGAACGTTCTTGCTCTATTATTTCAGGTAATGCCATCGTTGGTGGTGGATAGGAGAAATGACTATAAGAAATAACACATTAAAAAAGATCTGTTGAGAAAGAATATAAGTATTTTTCTCTGCAAGATTACACAAAAATTTAAACTTACTTTGTAATACACATTTCCATTAGAGTCCGTAAAATGGGATACCTCTTCCATGCAACAGCACCAATAGTAGAAGGATTGTGAGCAGCCAGTATTAATAACATTATCCACCCTTTCCAATATAAATTTGATATTGCCAAAGTAGGTGGTACATAGCTAAATAAAGTGAAATAAGTAATTAATATGAATTTTTACTGAACTGAATTTTACCTTAAATTTATAATATTATTAAAATCTGTAAATACTTTGACGGTATGTTTATAGTTCCTGGTGGTTGATAAATGCACAAGTTAAAAATAAGTTCAATTATATCCAATTTATCAGCTTGTAATGTCAGGAAACTCTCAGTTGAGTTAGCTGCCGCTCGTCTAACTAATTGATCCACCAAATCTAATGTTTCTGAATGAGTAATGCCATTTTCCTAAAAGACAAGGTATACAACACAAACTATTATACTAGAGAGACATGCTATAAAAATAAATAAATTTATCATTTTAGATATATACTTTTGAAAAACCAATCAGTAATAGTCTTAACAATGTATTCTGTAATAATGGAACATCCGAAATAAGACGTAAATAAAATACTCTATCAGATTCGGGTGGCCAATTATCTAATTTATAGTACTGCTCTGGTGGTTCAAGCAGTAAAATTTTATGTAAGGCATGAAGGAGCTCATTTTTTCCAATGGCGTACATCTGTGGCGCCGAATTCTGTAGCCATAACACGGCTTCGAATTGTATTGTTGCTACCATGTTCTGAAATTGATGTAATAAAGCTATATCTTTTTTATCACCTCTTTGTGCTAATGCTGCAGCTTCTTTAACTTGTGGGCTGATAGCTAGTAACATACATAAGCACAATAAATCTGCAATTGAAATGAAGACTCGTTCTTTGAATTCAAAATTAAGCAACTGTTGCGCTATATCCTGTCTTTCGGACATCAATGTACGCGCAAAAATAAGTAAATTAATATCATGTCGGCAAACACGTACGATTTCTCTGAGTAAAGCACGTAAAGGTCTCAGATAATCTTCTCGGTTCATTAATAAATCCTGAAATATTTCTGCAAGTAACTTAGCTGCTTGCTCGGATAAAGTTTGAAACATTACACCTATCATTGGCATATTATTTGGATTTCTTGCATTAGATAATTCGTTATAAATTGTATGTTTTAAGATAGTACATAAATTTTCAGGGTGCAAGCCGATTAATTCCTTTACGCCATTTAGATATAAATTAATTACAGCTTTAGTTTTCAATCTCATTTTTACTAATTGACTTATAACTTCAACATCTCTTTGTGTATGAGAAGTACAATTGTAACAAATATAACTCAGTAATTCTTGGGCAGGTCTCATTAGTTTCGGATTATGCAACCATACTTCTAATCTTGGAACGGCAATATTTCTGATTTCTACAAAACCACAGGCTGAAGAAAGTAATTTTAGAAAGTTTTTGGTAATTGACTCTGGTTGTCGTCTATTCAACTGTTCTTTCACAGCTTCAAGAACAATGAACTCTATGTTCTCTATACAATGAGTGTATCTAGGAGTAATAGGAAACTCTATTTTTTCTTTGTCGCCAGAAAACTGTACAGATGAAGATCCTGGATCTTCATCGTCAATTGTAGATGGACTATGACAATCTCGTGGTGTTAATACAGATAGTTCTGGTTGTAGGACACTTTTTGGTGGATGCCTTGTATTAAATCCTGTTAAAATATTATCTACAAAACCTTTGCATTCTTCATGATCAACCCATACTCTTTCACCTAAAGCATCCTCAATGTATAGCTAGGAAAAGAATAATAAAAATTAATTCTAAATTAAATGTTACATATAACTAATAAGCATTAATATAATATATCTATGAACAACCTTAACAAAGATTTCTGGCCAATTTCTTTTATCATGAAACCCCTTCATTAACAAATTAGCTGCAAGTACAGGAACTAATGGGTTTCCTTTCGTTTTATAATTATGTCCTTGATCCCGTTTCAATAAAGAGGATAGTGCGTGTAATATACAATCATTTGAAAACATAGAAGGACGAATTTTTGCTAAGTATAATAATCCCATGTATACCAATGTATCAGGTTTCCACTTCTGATTTTTAAGTGTTTTTATGGCACCACAAATAATGCCTATAACTTTGTCACCTTCATCATTATCATTAGCTTCTAGGACCATTGGAACGAAATCTGCTGGATCAGTATCTATGGCTACCAATTCCCAAGCTTCAGCACTTGAGAATGGTGGTCGTTGATGAGAAACATGTGCAGCAAGTTTAGGTTTTTTTTGTGGGATGTATTGAAAAGATTGAAGTGATCCTGATGGTGCTTCTCTTTTTCTGTCAGTTCCTACATAATTTTGTATATGTTAGATAAATAAATTGTATCATAAATTTTCTTTAATTTTCTTCAAATTTGTCTGGACATATATTAAAATAACAATCTTTTATTTACCAGAAGTTGAAGTATTACTACTTTGCTTAGAATGAATAACACCTGGTCTTTTAACATCAGAATTTTCATTACGCGAACCTTTGGATCCAAGTGCAAATAAATCAGAAGGATGCTGAGCAATTTTACTTTTTGCACCTCTGCCAATTCCTGCCTTTCCACGATCCATTATGATATTTGTATCTTTTAAGTTTATGAAAATAGAAAGCGTAGTTAATAATCACTGACACACTGATCACTTTTTGGATAAAATAGATATATAGAATCATCATAATATTCAGAATTATCATAAAATAATAATAAATAAATATTTGAAAATATTTCGCATTAAACTAACCTATGCAACATTTATAACACGAAATTCCAAGAATTTCTTTTCCGGAAAATATATCTAATATAATACATTGCTAGCAATATTAAATACATGAAGTAATTTATTACAATTGAAAATGTAGATATAATATTATTTTCCTACGTCAATAAATTAATGTTCTTCCAAACAGAACACTTTCGGCCAACAACAGTAGCAGACATACACAGTCACCACTATCGATATCGTTTTGCTAAAAATTCGATAAGATCGAATTGACAATTGGATCCGGTAATCATGAATTTAAACTGATGAGCAATAATTGCAAGGTCAAAAACTAAAAATATCGAATATTAACAATTTAATTTTTGCTTTTAAATGTACTTTTTATTGTTGAAATATGTACTTACATTAATAAAAGAATAATGCATTTACGACTTAAATTTTTATCAATTTAACTCTAAATTCTAAGAATATTGCAATTAGTCATCAAGAAATCATTAAATAATGTATTAAACACGTATGCTGTTCTAAAACGTACAATATTCAAATGTATTTTTTAGCATATGGAATTCAATATATTTATAGTCTTATCACGTTCTTGCTTATTGTATTGCATGCTTAAATGAACCAATCAGACCATAGAAAATTTAAATTTAAATGAGTGTTGAAGTTGAAGCAGTCGTCATTTCAAATGGCAGTTGCGATGTGCCGAGCGATATGTAGAGACGTAACAAATTAGTTAAAGACGAAGTAGTCGCACACAAACATTCTTTTCAAAATTTCTATGCTACTTCGCCCAACATATTAATAAAGAAAAATGTTAAGCGATGTTAAGGTAGGAGTCAAATTGAGGCCTTTAATTCAACAAGAACAAGATGAAAATTTATCAATGCAATGGATCGTAAAGGGAAATTCGATTATTTCATTAGATCAAGAGACAAACAAGTGGAGGGATAATGAATTTCAGTTTGGTATGTGTCAATAATTGCAATGCTGTTTTAATTTTTATTCCTTCATATGTACAGGAATAATTATCAAAATATAACCTACTTATCTTTTTAATGAAAGATTATATTTTTACTAAGAATATTAATTATTAGAAATGCAAAAGTTTCATTAATTGTCAAACAACTAGTTGATAATTGTTTGTTGATATACTAAATTATGTTAAACATTATTATTATAAATCACTGAATATATAATTAATATTTATTTATATAAAATAGATAATAGAATTATAAACATTCATGCATTATGATATTTATAACCTACGTTTTTTTCTATTATATACATTTCAAGAAAGGAGAAAATTTATTCAGTAATAAGTTTAAATATTGAATGTTAATAATTTTCATTTATATAAGTAAATTTATATATTATATGTTATAGTTTCATTTACATAGTAGGCAATATTTACTCTGTAGTATTTATTATTATCATATTAATTTTTAATATTTTTTTTATAGATTATAGCTTTGATGTAAATACAAAAAATTCCAAAGTATTTGATAGTATTATAAAATCTATTGTTGATGGTACTATAGATGGTTTCAATGGAACAATATTTTTTTATGGTCAGTTTCATTCTGGTAAAACATACACAGTGACAGGCACTTCAGAAGATCCAGGCATAATACCACTTACTGCTGAATACATATTTAATGCTATTTCAAATATCATTCAATGTGAATTTTTATTAAGGTTTGCATTAAAAATTATTTTTAGATTGTACATTTTTATTTATTTTTATTATTATTTATTTTATTTATTCTTTTCTAGGGTATCTTATTTAGAAATTTATGATGAGAGAATAAATGACTTATTAGATAAAAACCAAATTGATTTAGAATTATACAAAGATAACAATGAACAAATAATTGTTAAATGTACAGAAAAAATTACAAATTCTTCGGATGATATGTTATCTATAATGAAAGAAGGAATTAAGAACAAACATATTAATAGTCATAGCATATTTCAAATTGTAAGATTACATAGAATATTTTATATGTATATATATATAAACACACACTTTATTGTAATACTTAGTGTAATAGATACACGTACTTTTTAGATAATTGAAAGTCAACAAATTGAAGGAGATTCAAACAATATTGTACAATTATCACAATTAAATTTGGTAGATCTTGCTGGTTTTACAAAAGTTCATTGTACAAAAGGTATTGAAGAACATCAAACTGATATATCTCTTTTTACTCTAGAATCAATAATTACACAAATAAGTAAGTCACAAAATGCCCAGGAATATATTGATTATCATAATAGTAAATTAACAGAATTGCTGCAGTCATCATTAAGTGGCAATGCTTTAATAGCAGTAATATGTACAGTAACACCTGTTGCTTTAGAGGAAACATATTACACTCTATCGTTAGTATGCCATTTTTACAATGCCATTTATAACTTTACATGTATTAGAATATTATTTTTGATATTTAGGTTTGCATCACATACTAAAAAAATTAAAACTAAACCACAAAAAAACGAAGTTATGTTTGATGCATCGCTTCTTCATTATGCAAAACAAGTGAAATTAGAGGTTTGTACAATTAATTGTAACTTTATTTTAAAAATTAACCCATGTTTTTATGACAATTGCTGTGCTATATTGGAATTATTTCATTAGCAAATAAGAAATGGAAACTCATCTATAGAAGTAGAAGAAGTAGAATCTAAAAAACTACAACAGAAATGTCACTTGTTAGAAGAACGTATAAAATTATTAAAGACTCGAACTATTTCTGGATATGAAAAAAATTGTGAAAAAGCACTTAACTATAAGTCTAAAAGAAGAGAAATTTGGTATAATCCTGGAATGATCAAACCATATTTCCCTGTATTTCATACTCAAACTTGCTTACCAACAATAAAAGAAATTTCACCTGAGAAACTACATAAAAAAAACATTATGCAATCAGTTGACACAAATGAAAGTAAATTTATTACATTGTGCAATTTGTTTTTCACAGTGTTCTTTATTACTTAAAAATTTAGCTGACTTTGCATTTTCAGCATTTCAGACAGATCTTGAATCAGAAGCAATTGATTATGAAGTAGATTATGAAATCAAAATGAATGATAATATTGGAAATGAACATGTTAAATGTATGAAAAGTGATAATTTATTTCTAATGCCAGAAACACAAGATACTTTGATACAAACTTCTAGGTATATATTTTTCATTGTTAAAATATTGTCTATTACAATTTAATGTTTCCTCTTATCTGCGACAGAAATCAAATATGTCCTTCTACACCGAAAAGCATTTTACGGGAATGTATCGTGGACCTGACAACGCAACTTACTGAACTTCGTGAATTTACAACTTTAGAGAAACAACTAACGTGTGAAGGAAACCATTGTTGCAAACATGTAAGTGCAATTAATATTTATATGCCTATGTCTTAAAATATTCTTTAATTTTATACATATATGTTTTTATGATTTTGCATCTTTATCAAGAACATAGGAGAACAAGCGGAAATACAGTTTGTTTGTGATGGTTTTAAAAATAACAGAATTGATAAATGTTCTCTAAATTATGTAATACAATTAGAAGAAGAGAAAGATAAATTAGCAGTAGAGGTAAAGTTGAAAAGTCAAGAATTGGCCGAAATAAAGGATGATGTTCGAAGCCTTAAATTAGATATAGAAAAATTCGAAAAAACTATTTATTTATTAACAAATGAAAATATGGAAATGTCAAATAAATTGTCCGTTGAAAACGAACGTTCGAAAGAAACTGAACTAAATTTTCAAACAACAATTACTGAGCTTTACACACAGATTTCGAAAATTACGGAAGAAAAGATTAATTTAGAAGGCGATATAACAGTCTTAAATGAACAATTAGAATCATTTCGCTCAAAAACCGTAGGAGAATACAATAATGAGCAATTACCAATTGAACATCAAAATAAAATTGATGCATTGAAAACAGAAAATATTGAATTATCAACTATTATTGCAGATAAAAATAAGGAACTTGAAAATATTAAAGAAAGTAAATCACTATTATATGACCATGATTGTATTTATAAGGATGAAGTTACAATATTGACTGAAAAAAATAAATGTTTAATGCAAGAAAATAATGAACTTTCCTCTGATCTAATAGATAAAATTGAGGAAGGTGATATATTGAAAGAACAGTGTGATATTTTGAATAATAAAATGATTTTAATAAAAAAGGTAGATTCCAAAAACGATATAGAACAATTAAGATTGGAAAACAATATTTTAAAAGCCAAGATAGCAGAATTAAAAATGAAAATAACAATATTAACTAATGAAAATGCAAAGATTTCCAATAATCTATTAGAAAGTATGGAGGATTTTGATAATCCATACAATGAAAAAGTAAATAGCAATTCATTGCATTCATCTATAGTACCTGATAATCCTGAAAAGTCAAATGAGACTATGGAGAAAATATTACAAGGAGAAAATTACGAGGAACTGTCAAATAAAGTTATAGTATTACAGGACAAAGTTACTCATCTATCTCGTTTAAATAAAAAATTAAGTGATTTAAAATTATCATCCTGTGGTCAATGTGAACATTTAAAGAAGATAAGTGAGAGTCGTAGAGCTTTTAAACTTGAAGCAAAAATTTTAAATCACAAATTGGAAGACTTACAAAAAAAGTTCAATCAGAAATGTGAGGATACTGAAGCATTAAAACTTAAGGTTAATCAAGAGTTGAATGTAAGTTTTACTGATACATCCTTGAACACTAGTTTTATAGATAGAATGAATGTAAGCTTTGTAGAGGAGAAGGTTCAACACTTAAATAACGAATTACGGACTTTGAAGCATGACCACGATGAACTTTCAGTTTCATATATAAAAAAATGTGACGAACTTGAAAAGCTTCATAATGAAACGAAAATCGAGCACCTTCAAAATAATATCGAACAAGTGAAAAAAGATATAGATGAAATAAAGAAAAATAGTGCACATTTTGTTTCTATGCTTAGTAAATTTAGGACGCAAAAAGAAAACTTATTGGACCAAATCAACACACTAAGATTCGATAATGAAGCGTTACAACAAACAGTAGCAGAAAAAGAGATATTAGCAGCTACAGCTACAGAGAAAGCTCAAATTCTTGAGAATGAATTATCATGTATGAATAAAGAACTCGAACAGTTCTTTGTGAAAGAAAAACTAACGCAGACCGAGAAAATGACACTAGAAATACAATTAGAAGGTTTAAAGGTTGAAAATGAAAATAAAGGTAATCTTATTACTAAATTAAATAGAACGACTGGTGATTTGAATGAATGTATATTATCACTGAAACATGAATTAGATTTAACAACAAACCAAAAAAAGGAATTAACTATATTAACTGAAAATATTAAATGTAAATATAAAAATGAATTAGAACTTCTAAAAAAGCAATGTGATAAATTAGAACAAGAAAAACAAAAAAGTATAGAAACAGAAAAACATGTAACACTGCGAGTAAACGAATTAGAGTCATATATAGGAAAGCTTAAAATAGATTTGGGAAAACAAAAAAACTTACATTGTGAGTTAAATACTATTAAGGAACGTATGATCAAAGAATTAAAGTCATTTAAATTGAATTCTTTAGATTTTTTAAATAAAACTGCAGACGAAATTTTCATCATTTTTTTGCAAACGATCATGTTGAAAGAAGAAGAAGTAATTAAAGAAATGAGAGAATTACTCGAAAAGGACAAACTAAAATTAGAGGATGAAAAGCGGCAAAGTGCAGATGCTGAAAAGCGCGCAGTGTTGTGGGCTAAAGAATTGGAAATAGAAAATGAAAAATTACATGTTGATTTAACAAAAACGGAGTGTTTATGTATAAAAAAGCAAGATGAAATTAACCAATTAAGACACCTTATGAAAGAAAGTAATCATGAAAAAGAGATACTTAAAGAAAAAATGGAAGTGCTAGAAACTGATTTCAATAATTTACAAAGCGAATTTGACAAACAATGTAAAGTAGATATTCAACAGAAAGGACAAGCATCTATTGTTGCACAAAAACGAGAAAAACAAGTACAAGAAGCTCTTAAATACAAAGAAATTGAACTTCAGTCTAATATGAAATCTGAAAAGGAACGGTATGAAAAGAAAATAGAAGAGTTACTTTGCACTATAGAAATCCATAAAACAAAAAATCTAGAATTGAAAAACAATATTGAAGGTCTTGAAGCTAATGAAAAACAATTGAAAAATATTATAGACGCAAATTCCTCAGAACTGAAAGTAACCAATCAAGCTATTTATAAAATGACACTTGATTTTGAACATCTCACAGAAGCTTATAACGAATTAAACCGCGATGTAAAAGAAAAAGCAACTCGAATTGAAAACATCACAGCACTTTTGAAAAACAAATGTGACATGCTATCCGAATATAAAACTAAATTCGAAACTATTATACCAGATTATGAAATACTACAAAATCAAGTTAAAGAAAGAAAAGAAAGCATAGAACGATATAAAGAAGAAATAGAAAGATTGAAAATGGAAAAGGAAAAACAAATTGAAGAAATCAAAGATAAATTAAATTCAGAAGAAATAAAAAATACCGGATTAAATAAACAATTAAACGAATTAAATAGCAAAAATATTGCTTTGATAGAAGAATTAGATAACTTAAAAGAAGTATGTGAAGAATTGCGACAAGTAAATGTGAAATTAGAAAGAAAAATTAGAAATAGTACAAGTAAAATAAAAGCTGAAGCAGACATGGAAGAATTAAAGGATGTAAACAAAAGGTTGCAAAATAACTTGGAAGGTGCAAGTAACCGTATAATTGAACTGCAGGAAAGCAAAAATAAAACTTTCAAAGAATTAGTTAATTTAAAAAATCAATATGAATTACTGTCCCAAGAAAATGCTGAACTAAAGAAAACTTTATCGTTACACAAATCCAGAGAAAATACTTCATATTTATTTGCAGAAGATAGTAAATATGATATACTTCTTCAAGAAAAGAATAAAATTGCACTACAATTAGAAGGTAAAAAATTATTATTGTCACAAAAAGACAAAGAGATTGTAGAATATGTAAGTCAAATCAATGATTTGATTATTAAAAAAAAAGAACTTGATAACCAATTAAAAGATAAAATGTACATTCAGCAAGCTGAAAATAAATTGGTTAAAGAATTAATGAAAAAGTTAACAACTTTAGAAGAAGAAAATAAAGAAATGAAAGATCAACTTAAAACGTTCAAAACAGTGACACAAACTAACATAAAACAGGTAGGAGGTACAAAGTTAGACAATGAAAAATTTATTGATACTCTGAAAAAAAGGAATTCGGAATTACAAATTAAATTTAATGAGTATCAAATTGAATTGGAACTAAAAAGCAACAGTAGTGATTCAAGATCTACTAATCCAGCTTTTGAAAACAACAGAAGAAGACATAGCAGGAATGAGATATTTAATCAAAGAAGACAATTAGAAGATGTAATAATTGATACAGATCCTAGTGAAGATAGACAAACATGTCAAGTATTAAGAAAAAAAATTCATGAGTTAGAATTGCAACTAGTAACAAAACATGGACAAATTTCAGCATTAGAAATCCAAATCCAGAGTGAAAATTTTCCTTATCTACAAAAATGTAAGGAACTGCAGGAACTTCTGCTCACATCTCGTAAAAAGGTGTGTATAATACCAATCTTTTTCAATCTACTTTTAGGAAATAAAATTGATCAAATTAATGAAAATCAAAAATACATTTTTTTTTTTTTAGAATGCTGAACTTAATTCTGAGGTAAAAAAACTTCAAAGGACTCTAAACGACATTAACGCGTGGGAATGTGACATATGTAGACTATGGCGAATTAATAGAAGAGAACAAGCATGTCAAACATTTAATAATGCGCAACAAGTTTTTACGATAAATAATGAAATAATTAAGGTAAGTAAAAATATAAAGTAATTTTATATAAAAAACAATCATAACAACTGTGCAGGATGATACAAAAATAACGAAATTGGAAAAAGAGAAAGCAATAATAAAAGATGTATGTCGTGCACGATGCCGACAAATAAAAGAATTGGAAGATAAAGTAAGAGAATTAGAAGAAGCACAGACATCACATTTAAAGTGCATTGAATTTTTGAAAGAAACATCTAATCAACAACATACTTCCATGGTGCATCTCAATAAACAATTTGACTTGGAAAAAAATATGAAACTGTGAGAAGCACAGTTCTTTAAATATGCTTTGCTTGAAACTAAACTATCAAGATTTCGTTTTTTTTTTTTTCTGGTGGTCCTTAACTATTGGAATGAAACTAATATAATTTATTTATTTATATATGCAATGGGATGTACATGCATTATTATTTAGTGTAATTAGAACCAAAATTCAAGTGACATGTAAGTCACTATATTTATGTAAACATGGAAAAGTAATTACTTTCTATTTTAAAACAGGATATTTATGTATTATTTATTAAATATTTGCATATATTGTTAAAATTTGTTCATATGCATGTTATTTAGAATCTGCATGTTTATTCTTCAGATTTTCTATTTTTCTGCTACTTTCTGAATAATTAAAGTTTTGAAAAATTAAATTTATACATTATATATTTAATGTTTTCTACAGAACAATGAAAGAAAAAGTTTCAGCCAATGTGTTAAAGCTTGCAAAGTCTTCAAATTATAGAAGAAGCATATGGAACTCTAATTAATAAAAATATCTTCCAAAAATTATAGCCTATGATATCGTTAAAAATATATATAGGAAGGCTATCACTATTCAAGTATTACATTCATTCCTACTTTGTTAAGTTAATGTAAATAATAACAATATTAAAGTATCTGCATTTCTGAGATATTATATTTTTGTACTTTCATAAAATAATGTAAATACGGATAAACTAATTTTTATATGTACTCTGACGCAAAAAAGTGACTATATTTATATATGTTGTATCATTCATGCCGACTTTATAATAAAACACAATCTGTGATTCTGTAAACTTTCATAATATAATTGCATTAATGTTAATATATATGGGGTATCTTAAAATTAATTGGCCAAACCACAAAGGCTTAATCTACAGTCAAAAAGATGAAAAAAATGTTATATAAAGTTTTTATTATATTACATATTATATTTTATAACTATTAATGACATGGAATTGTTACCACACGATAAAAAATATGTAACTACACTGACACAATAACACAGTCAACTTCTGTGTGCTATGATGAAAAATGCGTTATTACCTATTTCATGCGTACAATATTTGTTTAAAATATAACAAAGTATTTATTGACAAACTTTATATAACATCTCTTTCTTCTTTTTGATTGTAGATTAGAAGTTTTCACAATATGGTCGTTTAAGTTTGGGGCACTCTGTATATAAAATGTGCCATAAATTAATTATTTTTCCGAGTTCAAACTTAAATTATATAATGTAATTGTGACGTAAAAAAAGAAAAAAACATGTATATCAGATTTATTACTATAACAATTAAAACAGTGAAGAAGTAATTAAGTTGTACTACATTAAATTCACTTACTAAAATGTAAACAAAAAATATTAAGTGCTAAAATTATTTCCCTTTCGCTTGAAGTATGTACTTTAATGTAGTCATTACGAAGTACCAGAGAAGAAATGAAAGTGCTCACGCCCGTAGTTCTGGTTGTTTCATGTACAGGTGCTGCACCATGTGGTCGCGTGCTGAGTTTAACTAAAATTAGCAGTGGTTGCACACTAGCATAGATAAGAACCCATTTAATCATACGGTTCTACGAACAAGTTTCGTAGATTCTTATCATAGGAAAAGAGACGAATTCAACGACCTTGCATATGAGGTGACTTACTTTTGTAAAATATTATAAATTCGTCAGTTCCTAAAAACTCAAGTGAGCCAGAGTTAGTAGCTACCAGCTATTAGGTTGCTATAAACGCTGTAAACAAATATTGAATTTCATATCTTCCATGGTGTTTCTCAAATTTCCAAACATTACTGAATCGTGGAAACTCACTTTAGTTGACATACTTTAGTCGAATAAAAATTGTAGGTGTTAAAAATATCTATCAAATGAGACGTCAAATGTTAAAATTGGTTAATTCGTTGAGCCAAATAAATAAAAACCATCCATAGTCGCACTATTTTCAATTGTCAATTATTCATGAAAAATTGAGAATGCAAAGTTAAAAATTTATGAGAATGTATTCGCGTTCACGAAGATACCAAAAAAGAAGGGCGCAGGTCTCGAAAGTCAATAGGAAGAGCAATTGAGATCCCTTCAAAGGCAGAAATTTACACTTGAATAATACAAATGTTTGATTCAAACGTTTTAAATTATTTTCTTTTATAGAATGGTCTATTGGTATAGAGATATACATACATATTAAGTATATCTAATATTTGTAAACGTTTATTGTATTGTTTATTTTCCTTGTTTTTTGTTAATAAATTATTATATTTTGAAATTTTGTACTATTTTTAACCCTGCTTTATATGTGTCATCGTCCAAAGATATAGTAAACAATTAATTTCTCTTAGGCAACTTACAATTAGTTTTATTAATGCGCGATTTTGTCATTTTCATATTTACCTATTTTGAACAGAAAAGTAGATATGAACTTCTTCGTAGAACCGTACAATTAAAGAGGTTCTCATAGCGTAGAACTCAATAGATTTTCAACTATGCTGGTGTGCGATCAAATAAGATTGATTTCTAGGTTTAAGCTTAAATACACAGTTCTTGTATATGCTAAATTACGACCAAACAGAGCAGATCCCTAATTTTACAGGTTCCTGTGTGTTTGAATTTTAGTTAAATTTAACACTTGACCGCATGGTGCAGTACCTGTACTGTAAAATAACTAGAACTACGGGCGTGAGCACTCTCATTTTCTCTCTGTTAGTAATGTAATTATATCTCTTATATTGGCTGCACTGACATTCTCGACATTTCATGTCAGTGTATATATCATACAATTTAGTGAAACTTAACTTACATTGAAGTTCTACTATGTGTTGTTTATAAGTAAAACATTAGTGTACTTTGTATTTAAATAAGTGAAAGAACATATATAAAAGTCAGAAATGGATTTTCAAAATCGTCCAGGAGGCAAAACTGGCGGCGGAGGTGTCGCGTCCTGGTCAGAAAGTAACCGAGATAGAAGAGAACGTTTACGACAACTTGCGTTGGAGACTATTGACCTCAACAAGGATCCATATTTTATGAAAAATCATTTAGGTTCTTACGAATGTAAATTATGTTTAACTCTTCACAATAATGAGGGCAGTTATTTGGCCCATACACAAGGTAAAAAACATCAAGCTAACCTAGCTAGAAGAGCTGCTAAAGAAGCAAAGGAAGCTCCTCAAACACTTGCTCCTGAAAAACCTCGAGTAGAACCAAAAAAATTTGTAAAGATTGGAAGACCAGGTTATAGAGTAACTAAACAAAGAGATCCAGAATCAGGACAACAAAGTTTATTATTCCAAGTTGACTATCCAGAAGTTGCAGATAATGTTATTCCAAGGCATAGGTTTATGTCAGCATATGAACAGAGAGTTGAACCACCAGATCGTAAATGGCAATATTTATTGTTTGCTGCTGAGCCTTATGAAACTATAGCTTTCAAGGTAAACTTACTTTAAAATATAAAGATAAATAATTTTGCAGTTAAAAATATAATTTTACAATATTTTAGGTACCTAGTAGAGAAGTCGAAAAGGCAGAAGGCAAGTTTTGGACACATTGGAACAAAGATACAAAACAGTTCTTTTTACAATTTGCATTTAAAAACGAAAAGCCTTCCGTTGGTAAAGTGCCACCACCTCCAGTTCCTTTAATACGACCTGGTTTAGGACCACCTATGGTACCAGTACCACCACCACCAAGACCACCTATATTTAATCCAGTACCACCACCACCAGCACTTTTAGCTACTGGCATGCAAATACCTCCACCACCACCTCATTTAGCATAATTTTTTATTCAGATAAAACAATGCGGAAAAAGGTTATAAATCAATATCGAAATGTACATTCTACAAAAATAAAAATGCTTTTTGTACATAAAAGAAATGTGAGGTGGCATTGTTATATCGTATTTTTCTTTGTCCTTTGCTATTATAATTTTGTATACTTATTACTAATAAAATTAGTATCCTGATACTCAAAAATTATAAACAATTTGAAAATTTCGCTCTTACTATTAACACGTTGACTGGCACGACACCCGTATTCGGGTGTCAGCAAAGTTTCTGGTTGGGCCGCGTAACCCATATTCGGGTATTGACTACTTACGAAGAATCCTCGTAGGTATTTGAAAAGATATTCTGTAATAGTAAAACTGTTGAATTGTTATAAAAGTAATACTTGAAACTGATTTATTTAAAAAATTTAGAACGTAAAATTAAGAAATAAGTTTTCAATTTTTCTTTTCGACGTTGTAACGAATTAGGGCAGAGATTTTGTAAGAAGTGGAGAGATGAGAAACAAATGCGAAGGAATGGAAACAAAAGAAGTGAGCTATCATTCTTGAGACCACCATTTGAGCGATTTGCATTACTAAAATATCGATGGGTGACAGAGATTCCTTAGAAAACACGCGTGGCAGTCAACGTGTTAAAGAATATATACAATACTGATAAATAAAAAAAAAATAAAACAGTTTTTTCTTTTTTTCTCTGTTATTGTTAACATTTATTAAGAATATAAACGTATTAGAATGTACAGAAGACTTGTTGATGAACGTTTCGGTTCCTGAAATGTAAAAGAAGTTTTACTAATTTATTTATGAAAAAATACAAAATATTATGAAGTTAGATTGGTGTAATCAGTTACATAGAACAATCTACATGGTTTTAAGTGTTGTACGCACTTTTCCGACCGCCCGTTCGTATTATCATCATTAAATGCTTTAATCTTTTACAATTTAATCATATTTATCAATGTTTTATTATAAAATATGTACCAGTATGCTTAGGCAGACAGAACACAAACTCCTCCAACTGCCTTAATTTTGTCTTCTGCCCGTTTACTGAAAAATTTGGCTTTAACAATAACTGGTTGTTTAGGAAGTCGTCCTTTGCCCAGAAGTTTGTAATATCCCTATAAAATTGAATATAGAACAAAAATGTAATTACAATATAGTATTTTGAAGTTAGTTTTCTCAGTAATTCTCTCGCGATTTACACTTACCGCTTTAACCAAATTAATTATTGGAACTTTGTTTTCTGAATCCTTATACTTAAGTCTGGTTTGTTCAGAAACTAATGTCCATAGTTTATCCAAATTTAAGGTGGGGCACCATTTTGTATTCCGCCTTAAATGATAATTTCGCATACCAAGCTGTGAATTAAAATAAAAATTTATTGATGTTTTCCTCCTACTGGTACTGATTTGATATTTATGCAGCTCATCAGAATACTACATACATTCAAAGTAATTCAGATCGCCGGTGAATAATAAAGTTATCATCATTGAATATTTAACCCTTTGCATACAAGAGGTGACCCTCGGTCACCACTTACCTTTTGTGACAACTCGAGCGGTGACTCTTGGTCACCATTCAGTTTGACGCAATATGCCAATGTTTATTTTCTTTGAAAATTGAAGCGTTATAAGATATAAAACCTTCCGAAGCATAAAATGATACATCTTCATATAGTGATAAGATTTTCTTCGATTCAAGAAATTGATAAGACCTGACCTTCCGGTATCAACAAGAATACTGTTGCATTTTTATACAATGTTGTTGGAGAAAATTCCTGGTGCTCAGAGACATTATATGTTCACAGACAGATATTATACAAGTTATACCTTGTTGGAAGAATTATGAAATGTCAATTTGCCAGGACAATCCTAACAAATAGAAAGATTTTGTCAAATCTTATAAAAAAACCAAAATTTTGTATCAAGTCTACTATAATATACCCAAAAAGCAACACCTTAGTTTTAGTATGTAAAGACAAGAGGATCGTGACATGTTCAACCAATTGGTATAATGCAGGATTGACTTATGTGAAAAGAATTTTACGAGGTGGTGTTAAAGTTAAGATGAAAAAACCCAATGCTATAATAAACTACATAATATATATGGGTAGCATTGATTGTGTCGACCAATATGCCTCAATATACTGTTTCTTAAGGAAATCCTTAAGATGGTGACAAAAACTATTTTGTTGGAGCCCAGAAATAGATATAAATGGAAAACTACATATCATTCTAACATGAAATAGAAAGGATTATAGGTTCTGCTCTCAATAAAATAAATCCAGCAATAGACACTAGACATTATTGTAATACGTGTCCAGACAAGCCAGGGATGCATCTTGGCAATTGCTTTATAAAATATCACACTAAACAACAGTACAGACTAATATTTAAGAAATTTTCATCTTTGAAACATAAAAATACATAAAAATAAAAACATAGAAGTTTTATACATTAATTTATATGTGTAATCATTCTAAGTTAGAGGTAAGCAATTCACCAAACATGCCATGAAATGTCTTGAATTGCTGATTTGCCCGAGCAAAAAAAGCCTCGAGTGCAAAGGGTTAATATAGTTAATTTTTTGTAAAAATCTGAAATATATTTACCTTTCCAAAGTAACCAGGATGGTACTTATCAAAGTTGATACGATGATGGTGCAAACCACCAGCATTACCACGTCCACCAGGATGTTTCCTGTGTTTACCTAGAATGAAGTATTGTTTCATTTAGTTCAATTTTGTATAATTTTCAATTATTCTTATACTCATTAATTTTATAACTAATAAACTATATAAAATCATACCTATACGTCCATGGCCATGGCTCACGTGACCACGGAGCTTCCTTGTCTTCTTTTTATGCGTCGACTATAAAAAAAAAAAGAAAATAAATAAATTATACAATAAAATTCATATAATCACATTGCGTGTTGTCACAAAGGTTATGTTATAATAATAACGTAAACTCGCAATGTTAACAATATTTACAATCAGTATTTAATAAATCATCTTAAGAAGAAAAATAACAATTCTATAAAAATATTTAATAAGTTTTTAGTGAAATTATAATCTTTATCATTTTATTTGACGAAAGATGTTTTCAAGAACTGCAGATTACAAATAAATAATTTCAGAACTACTAACTCACCATCCTGTTTGCGATGTAGGAAACGAAGAACGTTTGCTCTTTACTGAAACTATTAATATTTGCCCAGATGGCGCATGTGTACCTTGACTACCATATGATCATAAAATAACTATTAAAAATATAATAAAAATTACTATTATTATAATTTGTATCTAGAGAACAAAATTTGGCTTTTATTAAGTTAAGCTGTTTATTCTAAATGCGATAAATGACTTATTTTATAGCATTTGGTAGCATAAATGCTACTTTGAACAGATGTTCAGATTTTCATGTAAACTACATTTTATGTTTTTTATATTATTTTTTATTTAAATATATTAATACTGCACTCGTAAGAACAAGATATTTTATAAAATAAAAATTGAAATAATAATACAAGAATATCTTCTTTATTAATAGTTATTTTCTTAGCCACAAGTCACACATACGAAGTCGGCTTTAATCTTCATATAATGTACATCTTGAAAAATTCTAGTGATATATGGTTAAGGTTAAGTTATGCACATAGCTGCAGACCGGATTAAAAGGATAGGTAGAGGTTTGCAGATTTCGTATAATTTATGTGTAATCATTCCGAAATTACTTATAATTAAAAGTGAAATTTAATCTGTCCATAAAAAGAATTTTATTAGTGAAACAATACAAATACCGTCAAAACTGAACGTACGCAAGGAAAATTTTAAAAGTAGATCAAGATGCAAGAATCTCAACCGAAGAAAGGCAAGAAAGGTAAGAAAATAGTAATGTGATTAGTATACATGTGTAATTGAATAAAAATAAAATGACAGTACTTTGAATATATATGTAAGCTTATGTTTTAATTAAGTGTATAATATATTTTTCCTATGTGACGACTGTCGTCTGCTTTCATTTAACCTCAATTTAACCGCTTTTCTGTTACATACGGATAGGATAATAATATATTTCCACTTCTTTCATAATGTTTGTAATTTGGTAAATAAAAGTTTAGCTTGTCTGTCTCTTTATGCACTCACGAAAAGTTCTATATTTTTAATAATTTATGAAAATAATCATAATATGTTGGTATTTCGTAACTTGAAAATGATATTAGATAACATGATTTTTTATTTCTGAAATATATTTCATCTTGATTAATGTAGATCACTGTATGAATAAAATATTATATGAATCAAACATTAAAAAAATGTATTGATTGCCAATAACTGTATAAGGTGAAAGTTATTCAGTTGCAAACTAGATAGTGAAAGTTGCAGGTATCTTGAACACCATACTCTGTTGCTAATTCATTATTTTTTTGATATTTATGTAATTAAATTAAATGGCAAAATAAAAATTCCTTTTATAACATTTTGGTTTATTGCGCATTATATATCACCATGTAATATGTATATTTAAAATATAATAATTTAATCAGTTTATACAAGTATTTAGATCATGTGACACATTGGATGAATAATTGACTCAAAATGTATTTATATAATCCACATCTATGATTAGCTAGAAGAAAGCGCAATGATAGTGATGAAGATATCGAAAAAGTTTTGGCTGAATTGGAATTGGAATATTCTGGACAAAAGAAAGAAGTTAAAGATGAGCCAGTTGAACAGAAATCTGAAGATGAAGATAAAAAGAAGAAAGGAAAAAAGGATAAGAAGAAGGAAAAAGGTGATGTCATTGATATTAAAGAAGAGTTAAAGGTTAGTGAATACCTTGAAGTAAATAATATTGATGATGAAATGGAAGTTGGTACCGTAAAAACTGCTGCACAGAAGAAGAAAGAAAAGAAAGAAAGAGAAAAGCAGAAGAAACTTGCACAGAAAAAAGCTGTATGTAATTCAAGTTGTTATATTTATAATATTGTATATATATATATTATTTGTATTAAATATCATGAGTTATTACATTTAAATTAATTGATAATAGGAAATAATTAAGAAGGGAGAAAATGAAGAAGAAAAGGCTGCATCTACAAC